ATTAAGTATCTCTCCAACTCGATTTGTCACAAAGGTCTTAAACCTCAATGCTTCATTCTTGAAATACTTCAAAACTGAAGTACTGTCAGTCCAAAAAACAGACCCTTGTAATTCCATCATTAACTCATTCTTCAACAGCTTATCCAAACAGCTGGCAACCACTGCAGCTGTCAACTCCATACCTGGGATGGTGATGGGTTTAAGTGGAGCTACTCGGGCTTTACCTATCACAAATGCACAATGCACCTGTCCATTATCATTAGACTGCAACAAGTAACTCACAGTTCCATATCCATTTTCACTTGCATCACTGAAATGATGAAGCTACGAGCTTGTAGCTTCTCCAAAGTTCTGTGGTTTCAGACATCTGTTAACTCCAAACAGTTCAAGTTGATGAAGTCCTTCCAGCCAGCCTTTCCACTTCTGGGCTGCATCTTGTGGCAAAGAATCATCCCAACCAATTTGCCTTCTGCTTAGGTCCTAAAGAATCCCCTTTGCAACTAAGAAAACTGGTGCCAGAAACCCAAGAGGATCATAAATAGAGCTTATGATGGACAAGACTCCCCGTCTTGTCAGAGGTCTGTCTTTGAGGATGATCTTGAATTTCAGTATGTCTGATTGTACACACCACTGTATACCCAACACACGCTCCACAGACAGAGCATCTTTATCCATATCCATGTTCTTCACCTCTGTGGACCTTTCATGTTGTGGTACATGTAACAGTAAGATCACTGTGTTGATTACGTATCCATTTGAGAAGTTGAAATCCTCCTTTCTTACACAAAGCATGAAATCCTTGATATATTAAGACAGCTTCCTCTTCTGAGCTCACAGAGACCAAGCAGTCGTCCACATAAAAGTTGTGAAGAACAGCATTTATGACGTTTGGTTCAAACAGACGTTGATTGTCCTCTGCACACTTTCTCAGTGCAAAACAAGCATAGTTTGGAGATGATGTTGCTCCAAAAAGGTGTGCAACCATTTTATACTCCATCAGGTGCTGTTCATGTTCTCCATTTGGCCACCAGAGAAATCTCAGCAAATCAGACTCAGATGGTGGTATTCGGACCTGATGAAACATGGCCTCAATGTCAGCAGTGATAACARCAGGTTCCTTTCTGAATCTGGTGATGACGCCAATCAATGAACTGGTGAGGTTCGGACCTTGTAAAAGTTGARTATTTAGAGATTTTCCTCCAAATGTTGCACCACAGTCAAATACAGTTCTTATTTTTTTCTTGTGAGGATGGTATACTCCATGGTGTGGTATATACCAAACCCTCCCATCACATCTTTCAAGATCTTCAACTGGAACTGTCTCTGCRTAGCCCTTGGAAATTATGTTATTCATGAAGTCAGTATAATCAGAATGGAATTGAGCGTTTTTAGTAAACTTCCTTATGAGATTCAAAACACGCTGTTCAGCYACTTTCTTATTGTTGGGCATTTTCAAATCCATATGTCTCAGAGGTAAAGCCATAATATACAATGACCATCTTTCAGCTCAACTGATTCTGTGACCAATTCCATAAACTGATGATCTTCTCTGGACCATCCTGGTTGTTCATCTTTAGAACATTCAGGAAAATAAACCTTCATTTGTTGTTGCCACAAATCCTCAAGTCTCGACACAGAAATCCTGTTAACAGTGGCAGAAGATTGTAGATTACTTGTGTTAACACCAGAGTCTCCTCTGAGAGGTCCATTTACTGTCCATCCGAGAATAGTCTTAACAGCATATGGCCCTACATTTTGACTTTGAATTACATCCCAAGGCTCCAGCGCTTTAGGAACWTTGGTCCCAATGAGCAAATCAACTCCTGCGGTGATTTCAGTAATCTTCAACTTTTTCRGGTGTGGCCATCTTTACATGGTCTTCTTGGTGAGGAATGTTACTACAATGAACAGGCATGTTTCTTTGTGTATACAAATCAGGTAATCCACAAAAGGTGTTTTCATTCAGGCCAGCAATTTCTAAATCTGATACAATGTTGCTTTCAATCACCTTTTCTTGATTCATTGTCCACAGAAGGATGCTTGTGTGTCTCCCAGTGACATTTAATCTGTTCATCAGATCCTCAGTACAGAATGATGCAGAGCTTCCAGGATCTAAAAAGTCATATGTTATTATTGTTTCCTGGCTCTTTATAAACTTCACTCTGACAGSTAAAATAGAAAGAGTACAACCATGATCACCGGCCCCAGTTAGACAAACTAGATTGAGCAGAGATGGAGGCACTTTCACTTGTCTCCACTTCCTTTTTTTATATGGACTGGATGTATTTCCCTTTCTTTGGAGAAGCCATGTAGCATGGTGGGATGTCTTAAACTACACACTTTACAGTGATGTCGCCTTTTACAGTCTTTGCTGATGTGCCCAATACACAAACAACCAAAACACACCCCATTTTCTTTCAAAAATGTCAATTTCTCCCCATGTGTCCTCTTTTYCAATAGAGGGCGTATATCCGAGGAATGTCCAGATCCACAAAATAAACAACTCTTTATAACAGTTGTCTCTCGCCCTCTCTTTATTTCAGGGTTGGCTTTCTTTTCCATATCTCCAACAGTAGTAGCAAAACTACTTCCTTTCATCTTTAAAAGCTGCTGTGATTTATGGATTCCAACATCCCTCTTTGATCTAGATGAGGAATTTTGAATATCACCAAAAAGTGGATCGCTGGCGATCTTCACCTGTCTTTCTATGAACTGAACAATATGACTGTGTAGCAATAACTTGGAGTGGAATGT